GAGGAGCAGGAAGGCTGACGTTTTGGGCCTAGACCCTTCTTCAGAAAAGGACCCTTCTTCTGAAGAAGGGTCTAGGCCTGAAATATCAGCCTTCCTGCTCCTCTGATGCTGCTTGGCCTGCTGTGTTCATCCAGCTCTACACCTTATTATCTCAGATTCTCCAGCATCTGCAGTTCCTATTATCTCTGAAACAATTTTAACCCCACTGCGAAGCCTCTTCTAAGGATGCCTACCCTGAAGAAGTTACCCTCCTCCCTCCAGAAAAACCTCAATGGATCTCTCTCCCACTGCAACTCTCTCGTAATCTCTTCAGCCTTGAAACTGCTCAATCACGTCTTGAAGCAAACCAGGTACTACAGGCACATTACCTTTCTTAGTACTTGCCTACAGAACCAAATCATCCCCAATGGACTACAGTCCACATTCAGGCCTTCCCAATTCGGCCCTAACCGTGACAATGTCTACATTCAGAACATTGAGATCCTTCAGAAGCGTTTCTCCCTGGACTCCTGAAACACACTCGCAGCAATGCGCCGGCATCTCCGGGCACTACAATCAAGCCTACCCCAGCTCAGAGCCTCCCTCTCCCAGACCTGCAAAGGACCTCTCCTGTTTTTTATTCTTCGTAGGATCCACAACCTGAACTCACAATTCTACTCAGCTTTATTGGACACTAAAAACCGTAAGTACAGTAAACTTACTGGTGCCTGCCACCCAAAACGGGCTTCCTCCACCTCCCAAATCCCCAACCCTACCCAGGACCTTCCCCACAATGTGCCCGCCGCCATTGGCCATGTGGCCACTTTCGGAGCACCCACGAATGATTTCTGAAGAAGGGTCTAGGCCCGAAACGTCAGGCTTCCTGCTCCTCTGATGCTGCTTGGCCTGCTGTGTTCATCCAGCTCTACACCTTGTTATCTCAGATTCTCCAGCATCTGCAGTTCCTACTATCACCGAAAGATCTTTCCTTGTCTCCTCCTTTTCTTTACCTCTTGTTGACATTATCCAAAAATACATGAGTTTCCACTGACAATACCTGGCTGGAACATACCTCCTTCTTACCTCACCATCTCTAAAATTGACAGGCTCTCTATCCACATTGAGCAGTGGATCAACAGAGATATCCTCAAACAAAGTATTGGAAAGATAGAAGCCACCATCTTCAATTCGTCACAATTTCCATTCCCTCACCAATGACACTCACTCTCTCTGATGACTGTCTGAGGTTGAACAATGTAACAAATATTATATTTGACCCCAGGATGAGATTCCGAGAACATAGCTGCACCATCACGACTATTTTCACGTCCATACCTTGCTTCAACTGACCAGCTTCTGAAATCCTTGCGCACACCTTAGAACTGCTAGACTCAACTATTTTAACACATATCTGAACAGCTCCCTAATTTTATCATTTATAAATTTGACGTAATCTAAAACTCTGCTGTCTATGTCCTACATCATACTTATCTCAGCTCTACATTAAGTGCTGGTAAAGGGATGTTTTGGTGTTACAACTGTCATCATTGTTTCCAGGTCCTTCTATGGCCTGACCTGTCCTTATCCCTAATCTTCTCTAGCTTAATATGACATTGATATCACTAAATACTGTCGACTTTGTTCCACTTTTAATTGTTCCACAACTAGAGTTTGTGCCTTCAAGCTGCCAAGGTCCTCAGCTTTGAGATTTCATCTCTAAATCTCTCCACTTCACTACCTCCTTTCCTAGACATTACTTAAAACCTACCTCATAAGCTTTTGGTCATCTGCATTCATATTTCAAAGTGGCTGAGTGTCAAATAATGTGAGATACTTGTAAAGTGGTTTGTATTTAGGGTGTAGCTTAAAAGTAAATTACATTTAATGTACCACTGGTTGATCTGAAAGAACTTTGAAGATACTGAAGTGGTGTGATTTGGAGGAAGTGGACCATGATGAATACTAACTTTTAAAAAGAAGTCAATTACTGCAGAACTCTATCAATTCTACACAATAGCTCAGTTATAATCTCATAAAGCTCAATGAGTGAAAACAAGTTGAGGCCTTCAAACAAACAAACAAACATAAAACAGAGATAGCAGGAACTGCAGATGCTGGAGAATCTGAGATAACAAGGTGCAGAGCTGGATGAACACAGCAGGCCAAGCAGCATCAGGCTGACGTTTCGGGCCTAGACCCTTCTTCAGAAAATGTAAAACACTATTGATTATTAAAGCCAGAGGGTCTGCCTCGTAACAGTTGTCCCCACGCCAGGAAATAAAGGTTCAAAATATGAGATCTCCATTGATATAATTTGAGAGAACAACTGATGATGCTCTGAAGCAAATTTTAAGGGGCACTTCACGATAGAGTTGCTGAGTTAGACCACACTAAATTAACACTCCATGTCTTCCCTTTTTCACAATAGTGTCAGCTGTTTAAACTCAGCTAAAAGACTATCATCCACCTTGAACTTCACTTCTTAGTTTTAGACTAAGTTACCTCACCACTCCAGACAGTGGATTTCATTACAAAATCTCTTGTTGGAGTTTGCCACAACTTAACTGGGAAGACTGCACCAAAAATCATCCCCCACTGTTTCACAAGCCATCACAAAATGTATAAAATTCCAATTACCAAAAAGACCAATTTGTCTGACTGACTGGTATTCAGGATGAAGGTAATTCATGCCAGGATGCATCATTAAAATAAAATAATTATTTATTGTGACACACAACAAATGGCAGAGAAAAGAGTCATAATCTATCACTTTTGCAACTTAACCAAACTCTTTAAAAATCCCCAAAACACATACATTCACAATTAAGACCAACAAAAGATAAATGGTTTTACATTGATATTGTGGGTGGAATAGAAATACAAACAAGAAAACATTCAGAAGATCAGAAGTCCACATCACAAGAGTGGGTTAATTTGTCTCACTGTTCCTTTTGCTTTTTAGCACTGATAGCACACTGTGGTCTGTAATAGTTGTTCTTTATTTCAATAGTTGATCCAGTGGATCTCAATCTTTTATTATAATTCCCTCCTTTAAACTCCCTTGGTATTCTTGTTTTTCCACTCACATGCATGGGAGTGGTGGGGTGGTGACAGAGAAGAGAGAGATGCTTTCAGTTCACAGCCTCTGAATGTCTCTGGCTGCCCTGCAGCTACAGATTTGTATCAAACAGCAGCTCACCCAGTCCAGGGGATATCATATAGTCGCTCCTCAACTCAAAGAATAATGGCGCTGTCTTGAAGTATCCATCTCAAGGCTTCAAAAAGTGACTGTCTTTTACAGTCAAAAATGTGCACCACTTTATTATTCTAATTTGCACAACTTTTGTAGTGTTTCAGCTGTATAACAATCCAGTTTCCATTTCTGCTAATAGGCCAAAAATGAAAAATATCTGGTCCCATACAAAGTACACAAAATCAGGTTCTAAACAAAGTGTCTATTTCTGAAATCCTTCCTGCTAGCTTTCCTAACAAATACCATGAGTGAACGCAAATATTTGTAAATTTTAATTAATATTTAAATTTTCCTTTAAAATGCAGCATAATTAATTAACTGGATTTTGCAGTGTCTGGATTCCATATAGGCCACCAACTTCTGCAGGGCACATGTGAACTAGAGTGCATAAATTCATTACTCCTGAGGGTCAGCTACTTCAAATCCCAAGGGCCCCATGTGGATTTTGGGCTAATTGCTCATTAATAGCAAATTCAGATGGGAGCACTCAAATTTGCAAATACTTAAATTAAAATGGAAATATTTTATATGAAATCTTTTAAAATATCTGATATATCTTGTCAAAAGGTAGTGTTGTCTTTTAGTTAAATTTCACATCATTTAAACACTCTTTAATATCTGATTTAATATATTTCTGAGTGTTTACGTATTTCATTTTGGAAAAAAAATGTGCAATAAAAAGCTGAATTTCCAGTATCTTCTTTTTATTGCAGCAGTCTTCTCTTGTTTCTGGGGTGCAATAACTAAACTGTGCCCTCCCCCACCTGCTGTTATCGCCCAAACATGCCTGCGCTGTTGAATCTCACTACAACCCAGGGACAGAGAAAATCCTTCCTCAAGGCCACTGAAACTTCTGCCACTAGAACTGCACTATACGCAGACATTTGTTCTATGTCTATGGCAAGCCCTACTGCTGCATGCAAAATTCCAGTCATTATTTCTTCAAGACATATTTCCTATATGCAAATACAATTTTATTCACAGAGTTGCAAATTTCTTTTTAAACTAAAGTGCATTGTGCATGCATTCTTAAGACACTATATTTCATTATCTAAAATATTTGTTTTGTTTCCACAATAGCTTTCACTATTTCCTAATTTCATTCTTAAAACATCTTTATTAAGCAAGGAAATTTAAAACATTGCATTGGTTTTGTAATGCAGAGGTTAGTTAGATTCAGTTCAATTTAACAATAAGTTATAACAGGTAACTTTACAATTGAAACTATTGTCTAGTATGTTTTTCAATTGGAAAAACTCTGGAATGTCTGCACCTTCAAGATATTTTAAGCATTTGCATCTTTGCATTTATTTCACAATTTGTAAATATATTAATGATATATCATTTGAAAGTCCATTTTTTTTCCTGTTGTCAGCAAGAGTTACAAAACCCAGTACTGGATGCAAAGCAAATAGTTTTTTTGAGAAAGTTAAATGTTTTAACAAGTCATTTGAAAATTTGTTGCATATATATTGGTCTCTACTTTTGAATCCTGCACATGATGTGCTGAACATTTGCAAGTTATTCATGCACTTGGTGTCTCTGGTGTCAGTCACCCCTTTGAACTTCAAGTTTGAGAAAGGAACAAGTACAGAACACGTGCTCAGCAATGACAGAAATGATTGATAAAAAGTAAAAGAGTATTGTTCATCCTCAGTTTCTGCTGAAATACTGAAGTTCAGAAAAGGCAAATAAGAGGAAATAACTCTGAAACAGACTAACTCCACTTTATAACAGGGAACAAATATTTTCTTGGGTAATACCTTGAACTGACTTCATCAATGTGCTTCAACTGTTTTTAGCGAGGACGATGTAGATGTGGTAATGAAAACCAGGAAACCAGGAAAACTGTCAAATGATCATGAAAAGTTTTACAAGGTTAAATACATAGCATTCATGGGGAAATTATATTCTTTTAAAGACTGAAAACATACTAAGAATACTTCTTAATATGAAATATTACAACCAAGTGACAAACAATATTTAAAATCCTTGTAGGATGTCTCCAAAATATTCTTCCTTTCTTCCACCTGCCACATCAGTTCTCAACTGATGCACAGGTTGTAAGCAGGTTTTATTAATCAGAGGCCCTTTCGTAACCCAGAAACTAATTAGCAAGAAGTCAAATCAGAGACGTCAGTGGCATATATGAGCAATTTTGACCATCAATAAAAGGACAGAACAGGTTCTCATGCATCTGCTTGCGAGGTGCTATTACAACAGACATAAATTTTAGGCATGTACATTTTGCAGAGCCATCCTCAACTCTGCAGGTTGGAAAGGCCTGGTACTCAAGGTGTGTGAAATAAAATCAAAAAAGGTGAATGTTTCACATTTTAGTGTGATAGTTATAATTACTTAAACTAAAATATTAGTGCTCCTGCTATGATGGATTCATCTGTAGGATTTCTTGTCAACATAATTTACTTCTCTGCTAATTGCAGATTAGCTTTTTTTGTGCAGTATGAAATCTCAGCTTTAGAGGCATCATATTTTAGTTTATTTTTAATTACCAGCTAGTTTAATACTGAAATTTCTTATTTCCCATTTACGGGTTATTTAGTTATCTAGCAGTTTCTCACAGTAGAAAAGGTGGCATTTCAATACTATACCAAATACTTGTGTAAGAAAAGTTTTCCATTTTGTTTTCAATGCCACTGAAGCGAATTACAGAAACATGGAATCCCTACAGTGGAGAAAGAGGCCATTTGGCCCACTGAGTCTGCACTGACCCTCAGAGCAGCTCACACAGGCCCTCACGCAGTTGATGTAACTCTACATTTACCATCTCTTTTCTACCTAGCCTACACATCTTTGGATTGTGGGATGAAACTGGTCAAACCCGATGGAAACCCACGCAGACAAAGGGAGAATGTGCAAACTCCACAAAGTCACCCGAAGCTGGAATCAAACCTAGGTCACTGGTGCTGTGAGGCAGCAGTGCTAACCACTCAGCCACTGTGCCACCCAATGAATGCATGTGAAGGCAAGATATTTTCTCAAGTGAAACTTGGGAAACCTACGTCCTTACTAAATTGTTAAGGAATTAGGCATCCTTTTGATTTTTCAAGTAGCATTTTAGAGTTATTGATATTATTTAGTATATAACCATGATTAAAAAAACTGGGTCCAATGCTGAGCCAACTATTCAACCTCCAAGAATGAAGACATGGTCAAACAATAAATATGATCAGTTTAATATTAATTTTCAATATTAATCTTTGGATTTGAATAGGTTAATGTTTAAAATCATTCAAGTCATCTAATAACCACGCTGAAGCATAATTTCAGTTACATACAATACAAGCCTTGCATTGTCACTCAGAAATCAGACTGGAAAGACCTGAAGCAAATGTAAACGTGACAAATACATGTTTTTTTTTTAAAAATACATTATCACATACCCAGGATACCAAAACGTGGATAATTAAAGGAAAGCATTCCAAGATACTACATAATTTGGAATCAATACAAAATTAGTTTTGGCATAAAAGCTCATCATTTACTTTTCTGTGTAAGACAACACCTCCACAGAGGGTGAACTGTTCACTGCAATTAGTGGCCTGCATTGGAAATACTTTGTACTGGTGTACCTGTGTCTAGTCCAAGTAAAGTCCCAAGATATGATTGCTCTCTTGGATCTATAATTTGATCAGCACGAACAGGATGCACAATGTTGGCAGGTTGTGGTGTAAGGGTATACTTCTCTAGAAATGCAAGATCTGTTGCTCTTTGATAATCAGTCTGCTGGTGAGGCTGTTGGGAATGAAGGAGGGTATGAGATTGTGGCGCCAAAGTTGCAGCGTGTTGGACTGCATCAGACTGAACAGTACTATCAGCAATCCGTACTGGCACAAGGGTCACATCTCCATGAACGTTCTGAATTGCCGTTTTGCCATCTCCTTGGTAAACCTTATTTTGATCCAAATATGATTTTGCATTAGTCTCATACATTTTGCTATCTTGTGTAAATAGCAACTGCTGGGATACCATTTTCACTTCAGAAGCAGTCACAATTGACTGTTCTGGAGATTTAGTGCTGTGAACATGATCCATATGATACTTTAGCTTGTCTTTCCTTTTGAATGTTGCGTTGCAATGATGACAGTTGAAGGGACGAGCATCTGAATGAATAACCATGTGTTTTGTTAATGTCTTCTTAATTCGAAATGCTTGGTTACAAACTGGGCATTTATAGGGCTTTTCACCTGTAATAAAGAAAAAGAGACCTTGACCACGTTTTAATTTGAGCCCTAACTGCTTACTTACATGCTTAGATCAATTTGCCATCACTAACCAATTCAACACTATTGTTTTCCAAAAAGGACATCACTATTAGCCTTACAGAACATTTCTGGAATGAAGTATATTGCCAAGCCCAAATCACATCATCTCATTTGTGCAGAATTAGAAGAATTCAATGTAAATTCTCAAGACCTTCATTAAAACCTTGGAGGAACCTAAACTATCCAAAGCAGGGTCAGAAATTTCTCAGGAGTGATTTCTAAGCCTCTGCAAGAGAAAGTAAATTTTTCCATAGATGTTGATGGACATTAAGTTTAATCATTAAATCAGCACCTCAAGACAGGAAAAATATCAATCATTTCAGTTTTTCCAGAATTAGTAACTGGCAGGTATATATTTTGCATTTTGGGCAGTATAAGAACAGCATTATAATGTTAAACAAAACAAAGTTATCGCATCCCTTTGTGAGTTGTGATGCGTTGCATAATAGATTCTATATCATAAATGGGAAGACATTGCAGGTACTTGTCATGGATTTCTGATCTGACTTTACAAATTCTACTGACATTATTCATTGGCAAGGCCTTGGGTAATGCAGATGCATCAAGGCAGATGTTGAATTTGGATTCAGGAAGTACGTGATCCTGAAAGATGCCAAAAGCCTTCATGCATATTTTTTAGAATTCACTGCGATTGGCGTTGTACTATTGAGGGTCAGCAGGAGATTGGGTAGAGTTTGATCAAAGAAAGGGTCCATACATAGAATCATACAATCCCTACAGTGTGGTAACAGGCCATCTGGCCCAACACGTCCAGACCAACTCTCTGAAGAGCATCCCACCCAGATTCACTCTCCCAACCCCCTTAACCCCGCATTTCCCTAACCTACATACCCCTGGACACTATGGGCAATTTCACTAAGTCAACATTTCTGGAAGGTTGAAACCACATCAGTGTGACCAAGAGGATGATGAGGTCTTTATACAAAACACCTTATAATATTTGCAATGTTTCAGCATGACAATTGAAATGGGGTTCCCTAAGAAATTTATTACTTGGCATTAGTCACCCATAATGTATCAGGGCTCTGTCAATATTAGTCTACACTCTCCAGACCAAAGAAATGATCGTAGCCACAGTTAATTCAAAGAAGAGCCACTGGATTGTAATCTATGGTGATTTTAGTTCTGCACTACTCAGCAGAAGTACAATGTTCTGAACAAGGAACTTCAGATCCTAAATTTAATGCTCCATAAACAAAGAGAAAAAGGGAAAAAAGATTGTCACTGGGAACAGTGCCCTGATATATTTAAGAATTCAGGTAACCAAACTAGCAGTTACAGATCACTATAACTGCCATTTTCAAATTACCATTTAAGCAGACAGCTTTCCAGACATGTTAAGAGAACCCATTGAAAGTTCTCATCTACAACAACTATATTTTCTACGAAAGGGAAAGAAAACATTCAAGAAAATCATTATGGGAAATGTAGAAAAATCTATGTTTATGGCATAAATGTCAGAGAAGCTGACAACCAGCTTAGTGTGTGCTGATCAAAATAGCTACAATTATGTTTTCTACTGAATATGTGGCCAGTGTTTAATTAAGGCAGATTGTAATGGTTGTCATCATCAGGTACCAACAATAAGGTGCAAACAATACTCTTGAACAAGTGTCTGTAATGTTATTAACTATAATATAAACTTTAATCTTACCCACAGCAAATGTACAGAATAATGAACTCTTCAGTGACAGAGCTCACTGAGTTAAGGAAGGATGTTGGGAAAGGTGCAGAGAAGATCTGGTGCCAAGGAAGAGATACTTCAGTAATTTGGAGAAGAGAAGAGAAGCTAGGATTGTTGTTCCTAGATCAGAGAAAGTTGAGGTGAGTGTTAATAGAGGTGTTCAAAATTGTGATGGGTTTGATTAGAGGAGATAGTGAGAGATTGTTTCCACTGATAGGAGGGTTAAAGTTTTAGTTTTGAAGAAATTGTTTAAAGAACAAGATGAAAGCAGAGAATTTGATTTTTTAATGTAGCAAATTAAAATCCAGAATGCAGTGCCTGAGAGGATGGTAGAGCAGGTCAAACAATAACTTTCAACAGAAAAGAGATCTACTCAAAAAAACGTGAGACAAAATAAAAATTAAACTGATTTCAGGTTTAATGGATGTCACAAATGTCTTATCAGGATACCTGAATGTGTCCTAAAATGCATATCCAAGCTTGACTTCCCTTTGAATTCTTTTTTGCAAACTTCACATTGGTGAAGAGTAGCTTTGTACCTGTAATCCATAAAGATAAACAAGAGGTGTTTTGTTGTCTTCATTAAAAAGAAATCCTTTAAACTCAATTTAAAACAATTTTAAAAATGTTTCTAAGACATATACAGCATAGATGGAGGCTTTTCAGCCAATCATGCCTGTACTGGTCAACAAAAATTAGATTGCACTAATTCCATCTTCCAGCTCATGGGGATGCAGGTGAACAATTAAATAGCAGAAGTAAACAGGGCTGCTTTCTCAGAAGGAGATGACTGGTGATAGTTTAACCTGAAGGTCACCATGCCTCAGGCAAGAGGAAAAGTTGAGAACAAGAAGAGCCCATCATGGTAACTTCAGCTAGTGTGGCAAATGAACCTGCGCTGTTAGAGTCACTCTTCATCACAAACCAGCCATCCAACCCACTGAGCTAATATCTAACTACTGCATAAATGTTATGAGAGTTTCTAATTCAACCACCCATTCAGGCAGTGAATTCCACTTCCCACCACCCTCTGAGTATAACAATTTTTCCTCAACTTTCCTCTTAGCCTTCTCTCCTCTTATCTTAAATCTATGCCCCTGGTTATTGATCCCTCTTCTAATGGAAAAATCCTTCTTATCCACTTATGCTTCTCATAATATGGTACACCTCTGTCAGGTCCCCTCTCAACCTTCATTGCTGCCAGCCTATCCAAACTTTCCTCATAGCTCAGACTTTTCAACCCAAGCAGCATCCTGATAAATCAACTCTTACCCTCACTACAGCAATCATATCCTTCCTATAATGTGGTGACCAGAACTGTATGCAGTACTCTAGCTGTGGCCAAGCAGCATTTTATACAGTTCCAGCATAACATCTCTACATTTGTATTCTATGCCTCAGCTAATATGCCTCTAGTGACCTTGCCATATTGAGCCCTTGGTATCTAACAGATGTCTCTTTTTTTAACTTCTAACCCTGAACGTAAATTTGCATCAATTTACATATTATTCACATACTACAGTGGACTTGATAGAAGACATATCAACTTCATCCTATTAATGGGAACTATTCAAAACAAGTGTTTTTACATTTTATATTGTTTTGACAAAAGCTTTGAAAATTATCACAGCAATTCTCAATGAATTGCAACAAAAAATTTCTTAGCCATTAAGAATACAAGGTAGCAGTTCAGCACTCTTTGATTTCATTGCATTTTCTGATCACATTGTGCAATTACATGCACCATGTATCTGCTTCATCATCGATTTGCTCAAGGTTTATCCATGTTAGATTCAACACCTTTTACTTAAAGTTGAACTTTCTGTCTGATATCAAGTCTTGGATGAGTTATACCTTCCTTGAGCTCAGGATACCCCAGTCTGGCTCCTATCCAGGAGTAGCCATGTCATAAATTCCATTCCCCTATTAACTGACACAAGCTAAATCAAATTATTTGACTCACCATTAAAAAGACATCTTTTAAGGGCTTTTGTGGTGCTGCGGTAATACTGAACTTTTGAGCCAGGAGGCCCAGGTTCAAGTCCCACCTGAATATGCATAAAGAACAGAGCAGGAAAATTTCCTTCTACTCTTGAACATTATTTATTGGCTTTCACTACAATAGCTTTCTGCTTAATCAGTCAGACTGTTTTATCTGTGCATTGAATTTTTTTTTGCAATTAGAACCATCAGTCATATTTTGAGAAAGCCCTCTATAGATGCACGTAAATAATGTTCATAACCTCAACTTTTCATAGGTTAGGGAAAAAGGTCGATAAGTGACATGGAACTAAATGGCAATCTCGACCATGGTCATCCAGACTCGAAATGTTAGTTTGCTGTCTCTCCATGGATGCTGCCTAACCCACTGTGATTTCCAGCATTTTTTGTTTTCAGTCATGTTGAGTTACATCTCTAGGTAAGGGGATTTCTTTTTACTCTTCAGCTTTCTTGAACAATTTGATTAATAAGCATACTAATGGATTGCCTTCTGATTCAACATTCATTTGAGACAATTATGGACTGTCTAGGACTATGTCAATTCTTTAATTATTTTACAGTATGAACCCATTTTAACTCACCAGCACTTTCTCATAGGCAATTAGGAATGAGCAACAAATGTTGACCTTGGCAGCAATGCCCACATTCCAAGAAATATATTTAAAGAATGCATGAAAATTAATGTACATCATATAAATATGAAAATCTGTGTTTTAAAAGTACTTTGTAATAATGTTATTATTTTAGACATTCATGTTCCATATTCCCTGACAGCAGACAGCCTCAATGAAACAGTCTTCCACACACACAGTCCAGGGAAGATGCCAGTAGGTAAATACTGCAATCTTGTACAGATTGTAATTTATAAGTCCTATGCCTTAACAAAATGAGGGAAAGTTGAAGATGGTCAGTTTGTGGATGAGAACTTTAAAGGTGGAGGGAAGGCAATTATAGGAATTAGTGGAAGTGTCAATATCATCATTTATAGCAGACCACAGAAAGTTACTAAAAGCAGACAGCACATTAGGGCATTTTGCTTGGGATATGGAAAACCAAGAATTAACTAAAAGTTGAGGATAGGATAGGATGGTGGAGAGAGGGATGAAGAAAGAACTTATCAAAATAAATGAAGAAATAGAAGGAAAATGAGACAAGTGGAAAAGGGATTGAAGGGAAGAAGTGCTTTTAGTCAGGAAAAATATATTTAATTATCCGATCATTTGAACAATGCAATTTAAATATCACTGTTTTCTTTCTCCATAATTTAGTACACTGTTATTTCAATGATTAAAAATCACTGAATTAACAGCAGTACTTGACTTACTTCTGCCAGACTTTTTCTCCCAAATGGACACTTCTATAGTGAACACTGAGATGATCCCGACGGCCAAAACACTTTCCACATTCTTCACATTGATGGGCTTTTTCTCCTATGGAGAGAAAGCAAAACAAAAATTGGACATCATGATGTGAAACGGGTTGCTATGAAAACAAAAACTGCATCCTTTCTCCATGAAAAGAGGTTCAATACCAAAGACAAAATAAACATTGTAAAGACAGCAAAATATTCTTGTGGGAAACCACAATAGATGGAGATGTTAAAACAGCTAGTTGATCTATGCGTTAAAGGTTGTCCCTACATGAATTAAATAGGCAATAAAGGAAACAGTTTTATGAATCACATGATTAGTGATGACAGGGACACGGAGTTACAGAAAACCACTCTTCCAGGCAGCCAGCAAAAAACGGTGAAGTGATGCTGGAGCCACTAAGTCATCTATTTCCCATGTGGATAGTGAACTCAAGCTATTTAAATACTTTACCTGAATGAGTCTTTCGGTGTTTCGTGAGATGATCATGGCGAATAAAGGTTTTCCCACATTCTTCGCATTCATATCGCTTGTCATCATGGTGTACGCGGAGATGTAGTCTAGTTATAAGGTGCAAATTTATAAAATATTCAATGATATTTCTTGTCATGCCAATGACTTCATGAACCTTAGTAGCATGTCAGAAGTAAGGAATCAAAATGCTTTTTAGACAAAATCTTGGCAACGATTGCATTTGCTGTTATAATTGAATTTTTATTTACAAAGGTTTTAAGAAAGCTATCAGTTATTCCTGTAATAAGTTTAAGGTAACAGATATCACATGATATAACTGAAAAATAATTGATGCTTTTTTAATAAACATGACAAATATCAGATTTTAGCCAATACCTCTAAATATTCATAGAACACACTCTGATATCATCACACAAGGCCATTAGATAACTAAAAAAGCATGATGATTGGCATGCAAAGCACAAAAATATTCAATACATATTTAAACATGAGAAATACATACATCCTACTACTACACTCTGTCACTCATAATGAGAAGCAAAGATATTGCTAACTTGGTAAATTCTCTCTGTCGATCTCATTCAGTTATTCTAGGACTGATTAGCTAACTTTCACGTTAATTAACAAGAACGCTGAAATACAAAAAGTAAACTAAAACTAAAAACAAGCTATGTGCAAAGTTTAAAATTTTTCAATCATAACTAAGACTTTTAGTATACTGTATTTATGGACAGTTTCTTCTATGGATATATAAACACACACAGAGTTCAATGAGAAATGCAAGTCTCAATTCAGCAATTTCCATTGCTCCTCTGAAAGAGAAGGGATTGATATCAAGGTTTGAGAGAGTAGAAATTAGATCAGGAACCCAGGGTTGCTACAGATCCATGGCAGAATCCCCAGTATGAAGGGAGTGCTGAGGAAGGATAAGGGGCACAAGTCTAGGAGTGTAGAAGCCCAAGGTCTCCATGAACAGCCGAGGATAGCAGTGCCTTGAGAATCTCAATCCCATCTCTCCTGCACATAGACTGTTTCCACGGAGTTGAGCTTAAAAGGGACCGGTGAAAATAACTTTTTAATTTAATAATTTATATATTTAGAACAAAAGGTTTATTTCAGCGATTATTTTAAGTCAAGCCATCAGATGGGAAACCAAATGAAGGAAAAGATGTGATCAACTTTAGTTTTACATCCCACTCAATACTGCTCGCCACTGGTTTTGAACCTGCCTTCTGCAGGGAAGTCAATGTTCCACCTAACCCTGTACATTTTCCAGCAGGAGTTAGGTTAAAATTGCTCCTTTCAGTTTTAAACACTGAGCAGCAAAAGCTAAACTAATATTTCAAGCACTCCCAAATTTATAAATATCATTTTCAACATTAAATATATATGGTGTATCAGAATTCTGAGTCAGAATGCCCAAGAATGGGATAGGGTTAGTATTACATAAAACGAAGAAGAATACAGCATAGGAACAGGCCCTTCTGCCCCCATGTCTGTGCCAATCATGGTACCATTCTAAACTAATCCCAACTGCCTGGACATACTAATGTGTCTGCTTCTAAAACCCCCTGGCAGTGCATTCCAGGCACCTACCACCCTCTGTGTAAAAAAATGTACATTGCACATCTCTCTTAAAATTTTCCCCTCTCGCCTTAAACCAATGCCCCCTAGTTTTTCACATTCCCACCCTGGGAAAAGGACTCCGAATATCCACTCTATCCATCCATCTTATAAGTTTATATACAGGTCATGCCTAATTCGGCTCAAAGGTATGAATATCTGTAGGAAACCTGAATGGCACAGAATCAATGCACTGTGGCAGCTCCCTAGCTATCTAACATAAACATTTCTGTTTTCACAGTTTGTATCCATTGTGGTTGATTAGATTGGTTGTGTAATGCAATGCTGGCTCATTTTCACTTGCCTCCAAGGTGTATTTGCAGCATGAATGCAGTTTATTTACTGATTTCTTGGTCAGAAATTGTTTGCATTACACAAATAATAATGAGAAAGAGGAGAAAATATATTTTAAAAACAGTAACAAACATGATAAATTATCTTGAAACAATATTTAATGTTCGGTCTAAGACCCAGAGTGCTTCACAGGACACATTTCAAACAAAAAATTGATTGTCATCTATGTTAACATAATGCTGATTGGAAAAAAAAAGCCTTAATTTGTTTGCGATCTAGGAACCCAGGTATATTGTTTTAGTGGACAGCAAATAACAGATGAACAGAAGAAATGCAGAATGGATGATTTTTCTGGAGTTTTGTTCAATTACATGTAGAAATTGCATTTAGAAAGTGATTAGGGATCAGTAATAGATTTTACAGAGCCAAATGACAGGATTTTTCTTACACCTGCATGTTCTTACCTGTATGAGCTACCATGACGGAAACTCTGTCCACAAATGCTGCACAAATGTGGCTTTTCCCCACTATGGATACGAAGGTGTTCTTTTAATGTAGTTCTGTTCAATTTTTTTAAAAAATAAGAAATAAATAAATTTAAGATTCCTTAATATGTATTCTGTTGTCTTTTGCTCTTTTCACTGCTGAAGATGGGAGGAAGGAATATTTCTGTCATTACCTTGTTTGTGAACAATATATCTCAGAAACCAGTGGATGGATTTCAACAAAACTGCATAGCTAGAATATAGCCCAAAGAAGAACTAATTAGTGTTTTTGTGATGATCTGGGTTCTGGATGTATTTAAAGGATTTATTAACCTTAGGGGATAGGACAAAAAAAAACTTATATTTTTAAAAAGTGTGTTACTTTATCAAAAATTATGATGATTGTTTTAATATATTGTAGTTTGTGAAGCTATGACAGAATATGTCAAAATTGTTCAATAGTGAGCTGAATTTTCAGTGTAGGTTGGTGGATGCGAATGGGCTTGAAGCCTTCTCAGCAAGATGAAAGTTCTTAATAAAAACTGATTTTTTTTTTTTAAAATGCTCTGTTGTTACACAGAGCAAGATCAGGAAGTCTCAATGAAGAGCTGTGTAATTGTAATAATGTTGAATTACAACATTTACAATCACAATTACAATATTGGCAGAGGTAGGGTCTCTGAGTATCCTCTTCACTTGTTTCATGATTTATCAATGATTTCCCAAATTACGGGCATAGATTTCAAACTCACTTGAGAAAGAACAAAATAAGATGAATACTTCACCAACATGTATGGTAAATTACATTACTTTTTGAACATCACTATACAGTTAATTGCATCATGAAGGATTAACAAAATACCCTAATGTTAAAGTAGATTCATAAATACTGGGTTTACTTTTTCATTAAATTGTAAAAGTAAAAACTGTAGTCTTTTCTCACTGAACTTAAAAATTGCAACTTCTGGAATTTTGTTTACTTATAATAATCACATATAGTTTTACCTTTCTCTTACTGACTTCCCACAGATAAAGCAAGTCCACTTTCTTTTTCCTCCATGAGTGCATTCAATATGACGCTTAAGGTTCCCAGTGTCGTTAAACTGGCGACCACAAATATCACACGGAAATGGCCCTGAAGTGTGAGAAATAAATTGGTAGCATTAGTTTCAAGTTGTCAGACTTGGATCTGCAAGTCTGCAATTCTGTAACACCAAGTGGTTAAAAAAAACTGTATTAAATTGAACTCCATTCAAATTAGAAAAATGCAACCTGCCCTGACAGAATGATCTAGGTTGTATCTCTGCAGTACATCATGCTTGCACTTTCTTTCCTTGCAGGGAAAGGGACCACAGTTTAACCTTTATTTTGTTGTGGCTGAAAGAAAAGGATGATAAAATAAAAAAGTCTATTTATTATAAACACCAAATGTTTTGCTTCAATATTTTTGAACACTCACTGCTGTCTTAATCATCTTTTGCTCTGTGTTAGGTATTAAATTTGCTATCCAAGGATACCCTGAGAACATCAAATATTTTGTTTTGAATATCTCCTCTAATAACAAAGCTACACTCATTAATTAATATGGTCTGTTAAATATGAACTTCATAATTTAACTTCATAGAAAACAAAGTGGAGAAACTCAACAGATCTGGTAGTACCTGGAGAGAGATACAGATTTAAAGTTTCAAATTCAAACACATTTCTTCAGAACTTGAAGAATCACCAGACCTGACACATTAACTTTCTGTCTCCACAGATGCTGCCATACCTGCTGAGTTTATTCAGTATTTTGTTTTGTTTAATTATAACATCTCTCATCAAATTAGTTAGCAATTTACTCCACAACCTCAAGATCAGATTAAACAGCAGAATAAGTTCAAAGGTTTGAATAGATTACTTCTGTTTCCTTGCACTTATGTTCCTATGGCCGTACGATAAAGGAGAAGGAGATCAAATACAAATCGACATGATTCTTTATAAAGAAAATAACTGGAAATCTGATCTCAGAGAATCAAGTGGTGCAAGTTGGTACATTTAAAAAAAAAGACTGTTTGATAACAGTTGTCGTTTGAGTAGGCAGAAAGAGAAACTGTAGTTTGCTTTAAAGATAACAAAAGTTGCACAAAAGGCCCTAATTGATGATTTTACATGATTGATTACATTCCCACAGATGACTTGCAGCACTGTGTAACCAATGCAAGAGCAGTTCCTTCATTCTTTCTCATATGTTGTCATGGAATCTTTAAAGTCCACCTAAGCAGGCTGACATGACCTTGTCTGAAAACCTAATCTCAAAGATAGCTTCGAAATGCAGCACACATATCTTCACAAAGGTTAGGCTTAGTTTACGTGCTCAAATCCATCAGGGTTAACCTATAATCATCTGCATCATAAGCAAATCTGTCATCAACTAAACCAAGCTCAAAAGTATAATCACAATACAACAGGCTGAAAACTACATAATGTTTGCTAGAATTCATTCTGGATTTCTGAAAATTAGACAAGGATATTAAGCTGTTTTTTGACGTTACACACATGTATGTTTCATATCATTGTTAAATATAAATACAACTACAAGCATTGGTTATTTGAGCCTAGGTATCTTAATTGTTACTTATTAAATGCAAACTGTAAAGTTGTAATACAAAGACTATATTTAATTTCATAAATAGATTGATATACATGGGGCAATCGTTGACCCATAGGTTTAATAATGCCGAAGGATATATTAATTAAAATTAACTTATGAATTCTAAAGATAAGAAGCAGGTGTACAGAGCAAGAGTTCTGTAGGTATCAAATTGTAACAATTAACAAAAAAGAACTTTTAGACTGAACTACAAAACTTGATGGTAAACTTTGAATGAAACAATACTAGGTTCCTGAGCTAATTTTTCATTTAAGGTTTTATCTTGTGGACTTTTCCCATACCCAAATGAAACTTTTCCTGATGTTTAAGTCTTGCAAATCTGGATTTGAAATGTTCTTCACAATAACTACATTTGAATGGTTTGTCTTGTGTGTGAAGGATCCTGTGCTCCTCAAGATGAGGTCTCCTTGTGAAGGTTTTGTTACACACCTATGACCAAATAAAAGCAATAGGGAATCATCACAAAAAGTTCAATACTGCATGACACAAACACAGAAGGGTTAGAGCATTTTATCCCAGTTACTGCTTATGCATGTTAATTTTGAAGCTGGGAGGATAAAGGGAAGAACTTACATCGCACTTCCAGGCTTCACTCTTCTTCTTCTTGGCAGCAAAAAATTCTTGCACATTAGCTGGATGAAACCTGGTGACATTCCCAAACTTAATGAATTAGCATACTGTTGCCATCATAAATGAAAATAAGAATGAAAGCATTCTTAAAAAGCTAAACTATCTTTTTGAAAATTCCTTCCCAGGAAATCTATGTTCTCAATTGCAAATCCTCAACATCGTAAAAGATGCCTAATCGCTACATTTCAGCTTTCCCTCTAATTGTGTTTGGTGTTTTATTTTTTATACATACTATACTTTATTTGGGGAATTACAAGAAGTACGTCACTATTTCAGTAATTGATTTGCCTGTGTATCTTACATCTTAGAATAGCAATAGTAAAACTTGGTAAGAAAAAATACAACCTACACACATTATTCAATATTGCCATAAAATGAGGCTATTGATTGCATTATACATTAAAGCGCATTGTACATTCAACAAGTTCTGACAAATACATTTTTATTCTTTTCTGGTGTCTCCTGAATCTTTTGCTGTTTGCTTGCTTCTGAGCATTAACAAGCCAATATTCATTTGCACTGGAAGAGATACCAAAGCAATCGTGCAGTACTGGGGAAGCTCTGCAGTAATGGAGGTAAACAGACATTCTATCTGCCTTCTCACATTGATGTAAAAAAATTTGTGGCACTTTTTCTAGGTAGGCCAGTGTCCTTGCCAGTATTTATGTCTCAATGAATATTGCTGAAAGATTATCTGGTCATTTTCATATTACTGCTTCAGAAAGGTGACTGTACAAATTAGCTTCCATGTTTCCTACATCAAAACTTGTACCTACACCACAAAAATTAGTTTATTGGCTGTAAAGTGCTAAAGACATTGATGAAAGGCTTTATATAAAATCAGAGGGAAGTTTACTGTTATTATTTATTTAGTGATAACTTTATTATTTATTTGGGCATCTTTGTTTTTCTCAAATTGACAAACGTACAATAGCTACATTACAAAACTTTGGTACCAACTCAAAACACATCCAAAAAACAGTAAATACTGTTTCACTTCTGACAATCCAAATATAAAGTAGCTACTAAAAGGCTGCAGAAAACAGACAGGCATACAAATATTTTAACTGGATATTTTCAGCAGTTTACACTTACCTTCTCACATGCTTTGCTAATGTTTTTTTGCTGGCATGTAGCTTGTTACAGAATGGACACTTTTGTTCTTTTCTTTGAATAGCAGCTTGCGCATTATGTTTCTTTCTGTGTGCAGTTAAGTTGGATTTTGTGGAGTAACGCTGACTACAAATATCACACTCAAAAGGTTTTTCTCCAGTATGCACACGAGTGTGGCATTCATATTTTCCTATAAAATCCAAAATGCAATTAAGAAAGTCAGGATTCAAGATTAAGACACAAAAAGCCTGCAGGAAATAACTGGATTATGACAGTGTGTGTAAATACATCCAACATAAAGCAGCACAGTGCGCAGCACATAGCTTTCACTCTCAACAGCCCCTACTGTCGAAAGCTTTTGATCTCAGATATGCCATTACCAGGAGACTCAGATACTTCTTCACAATAAAACAGAAGGAGGCAAGAGCTTGGAGAAAAGAGACCAAATAATTAGTCAACAAATCAAACAGGAAATAAAACTGCGAAAGCCTATGCTTTCGTAACCAGTCTTTTAGCCAGAGAATGGAGCACAAAGGGAAAATCACAGAAATTTGTATTCTAATTATGATTAATCAAACATTTAATATTGTAAAATGGAATTACATCTAAATAAGTACAGTGAATCTTTAGTATAAAATATAAAATTATAAACTATTATATTGTTTCCACAAGAGAAGCATATCTTACTGAATGGAAGCAACAGGCAACACAACTGCCCAAAAGACCAGGCATTTTTATCTTACCAACCTATTCGATCAAACGTTTTATCGCATTTGGGACAGTGAAGTGTTTTCTTGCTGCCAGCCTGCGATATGACTGGATCTAATTCCTTGGGAATATTTTGTTCAATTTCATCTGCATCCAGAGGCTCATCCTCATCAGTTTCTTCTTCATTCTCCTCCTCGCCTTCAATTTCTTCCTCCTTTTCCATTTCTTCCTTAAATTTTACTTCAACTCCTTCCATTTCATCTTCACTTTCGATAGCTTCACAATCATCATGTTTCTCTGTGTCACTCCCATTTTTACTGGAAGATTCATCTTCAGAGACATCTGTGACTTTATTGTTACTTTTACATTCAAATTTTGCTGGACACTTACGAGTACGAGTCGACCACCTCCTTGTGGAACGTTCCAACTTTGTTGGATCAGCACTTTCTTGCACGTGCGAATGGTCAGTGTGAGCTTTAGCAATATGGTTTTCTAAGGATTTTTTATAACAGAAACTTTTACTGCAGAAGGTACATACATTTTGTAATTTGGGAGCAGGTTCAAGAGAATTCTTTTCTTCCAAACACTGATTATTTTCAGTGAACAGTTCTGATTGGGTTGACCTGGAGACATTTTCATTACCAGACAACAATTTAACTGCATCTATAATGTCTAGAAACTGCGCTGCTTCCAAAACTGATGGGATGTCATTTTCCTGTATAAAGAATTCAGACGTATACAGGAACTCCAACAAGTGGTGGAAAACATAGTAACTCACATGGTCCAATTGGATACTATCCATGTTTGGGTTTTTGCTTAAACAAGCATAGAAATAACTGCTCCCCACTGCAACAACCACCTTATGGGCACAAAAATGCTTTCCTTCTACCATGATGATTAAGTCACAGAAAGGTGACTGCTTAAGTCGATCATCGTTCATATATTTCAATAGATTTTTGTTATGTACCAGTGATCTCAAATGTATAATTGGTGAGGATGGACCTAAAGGAACATCTATATTATCTGCAACACTTGAAAGGCCCTGAATTGATCTGGGACCACAGCATCGATTTTCAAATTTTGCAGTCTGTAAATCTAAGAAAATGTCTTTGCATTGGGTTCCCATTAAACTTGAACTAGTTTTATAAGAACTGTCAATGTTCTGAGACATGATGTTTATGAAAACTGCAGCAGCTGTGTAACTTTTCTCAGTTTGTTGACAGACATTGGAACAAAAGTACAGAACAAAAATATCTTCTTTCAATGTAAGGTATCCTTGTAGCTTTTTTTGATATTAGATGATTTCATTTTGCAAAATCTTCTTCGTATAGTCATGATATTCATCAGGCCTGCAAGAAAATCACCCAAACACATTATTACAATAAAAAAACATGCTTTAGCAGTATTTGTCAGAAAGGCTCATGCAATAAGTGAATGCTACAAAAAATACTGGTCAACTAAATTAAAAGGAAATGTGCTTATGCCAAGTTGGCAACTGGTGTAATTTTGAGATCACTAGCTAATCCTGTCTCATAGTAAATGATTCTTTAGGACATAGTGATTATACTATGATTGAATTTCAGACTTAGTTTGAGGGTTAGAAGTATGTGCCAGAAACTATTGTCTTAAACTAAATCAAATTGAAGAAACAGGAAGACAGAGTTGGCTAGGAAAATGTATTAAAAATGAAAACAGTAGATAAGAAAAGCAGACATTTAAAATATATCTTAATTCTCAACAAAGATATATTCCACTGAGAAGGAAAAACCACATGCCGGTTACACAAATCATCCATTGCCAACTCAAAAAATTAAAGATAGCATTTGAGGGTCTCCTGTGATGCAGTGGCAGTGTCGCTAACTCTGGATCAAGGAGGCCTAGGTTCAAGCCCCACCTGCTCCAGAGGCGAGTAATAACATTTCTGAACAGGTTGATGAGAAACGAAGAGTCATACAATGTTGCAAATATGAGTGGTAGTCTGGAGGATTGCCAATTTTTTTTTAGAAACCAGCAAAGGATGACTTTTAAAAGGGAGAAAGTAGATTATGGAAGTATTTTTTTAAGCCGACACATATGGGTACATAAAAAGGAAGAGAGCAGCTAAAATAAATATTGTTCCCTTAGAGAATGAGACTCAGGAAGTAACATGAAACAAGGAAATTTTGGAGAATTTTAACAAATATTCTGTATCTGCCTTCGTGGCAGAAGGCACAAAGCATCCCAGAACAGCACAAACTCAATATGCAAATGTGAGGAATTTAAAGTAATGATTCCTACAGAAAAGGATTAGGCAAACTAATGGAGAAGCGATGGCCTTAGTGGTATTATTGCTGGACTGTTAATCCAGAGACAGGTACTGTTCTGGGGAACTGGGTTTGAATCTTGCCACAGCAGAGGGTGGAATTTGAATTCACTAAGTATCTGGAATCAAGCATGAATTGATTGTCAGAAAAACCTACCTGATTTATTAATGCGCCTTACAGAAGGAAACTCCTTACCTGGCCTGGCCTACATGTGATTCCAGATAGACAGTAATGTGGTTGACTCTTAATTGCAATTAGGGATGGGTAATAAATGCTGGCCTAAGCAGTGACACTGTCATCCCCTGAATGAATTTAAAAAACTAATAGAACTAAAGGGTTTTAAAAGAAGAGGATGCACTGGTTATAAACTTCCATAAAGCTCACTGTGGGAAAAAAACAATGAAACACTATTATTTAAGAGAGACAGAAAAGAAGCAATGGCCTAGTTAATCAAACATCTGCCAGCTAGAAATACTGGAATCCATTATTCAGCAAGTACCAGCAGTATGTTCAGAAATTTATACTTATAATCAGAGCCAACGATGATTTCCTTTGCAGAAAACTAACCATCTCTGAACGAGCTTTTTGAGGATTTAGTAAACATGACGGATGAAGAGGAACCGCTTGATAGAACGTATTTACATGTGGTATATAAAAAAGTTACTGCACAAAATAGTGCTGGGATTATATATTAGCTTGGGTAAACAATTGCCCATCTTGCTGAAAAGTGAGCTGAATTAAATTGGTTATTTTCAGGTTGGCAAACTGTCACTAGTGGGTGCTGTGGATCAGCGCTGGGTGATTTACAATCTGACTTGGATGAAGGAACTGAGTTACTGGAGTCAAATTTGCTGACAATACAAAGGCAGGGTGAGAAAACAAGTGGTAAAGAGAACAACTGGAAGAGGAAGTGGTGGAGGTGGGTACAACTACAACATTTAAAAGGAATCTGGATGGATATATGAATAGAAAGGCTTTACAGGGATATGGGCCAAATGTTGGCAAATGGGACTAGGTCAGATTGGCACGCCTGGTTGGCTGTACAAATTGGACCAAAGGGTCTGTTTCTGTGCTATGTAACTCTATAACTCTAAGATTCTGCATTTTTCACTTTTAATTGTTCGTTAAGTTTTTGTTCTTTATTTCAATTTATTTCAGAGATTTTGCTAGTTTGAATTGAATTAGCTTTATTGTCACATGGACTGAAATGAGTACAGTAACAAGTTCTTCAGTACAAGCTCGAAGGAAAAAAAATAGAAAAATAAAGAAATAAGAAGTCCAGCATTACAGATTTTAAGAATAAGTTAGAAAATAGAGAAAATAAAAGTTCAGATTAACAGTTCTTCCAACTCAGTAATTCAGCCTTTAGAGATAACAAGGTGTAGAGCTGGATGAACACAGCAGGCCAAGCAGCATCATAGGAGCAGGAAGGCTGACGTTTCGGGCCTAGACCCTTCATCAGAAATGGGGGAGGACGGACAGGTCAAGGGGGCGGGATGAGGTCAGTATGTAGGAAATGGGGGTGCGGCTTGAGGTGGGAGGAGGGGATAGGTAGGAAACTACTAACGTCATCCCGTCCTCCGTGGACTGACCTATCTCCTCCCTACCTCCCCACCTACACTCACCTTTACTGGCTCCATCCCCGCCTCTTTGACCTGTTGTTTCCTCTCCACCTATCTTCTCCTCTATCCATCTTCTATCCGCCTCCCCTTCTCTCCCTATTTATTTCAGAACCCCCTTCCCCTCCCCCATTTCTGATGAAGGATCTAGGCCTGAAACATCAGCCTTCCTGCTCAGCCTGCTGTGTTCATCCAGCTCTACACCTTGTTATCTCAGATTCTCCAGCATCTGCAGTTCCTACTATCTCTGATACAAATTCAGCCTTTAGAGCTGTTTGGGGTAGAGAATTCCAAATTTTCAAGACCCCAACAGAAGAAATTCTTCCTCATTTTCATCTTAAATGGATGGTACTCTAAAGCTATACCTCTTAGCTCTAGATTCCCACATTAGAGAAACATCTTTCAGCATCTACTCTATCAATTTCCCTAAAAATCTTCTATACTTCAATATGATCATCTTTCATTCTTCTAAACTGCAATGACTAGTCCAACCCGTCCATGCCGAACATACTCTGGAAGTAAACTAGTCCCACCTGCCTGCTCCTGGCCCATATCCCTCCAATCCGTTCCCATTCATGTATCTATCCAAACGTCTCTTAAACATTGTAATTGTAACCACATCCACCACTTCCTCAGAAAGTTCATTCCACAAGCGAACCATCCTCTGCATAAATAATTTGCCGCATGTCTTTTCGAAAATCTCTCTCCTCTCATCTTAAAAACATGCCCATTAGTCTTGAAATCCCCCATCCTCGGAGAAAGACAACTACCATTAAGCCTATCTATACCTCTTATTTTTTATAGACTTCTATCAGGTCACCTCTCATCCTCCTATGCTCCAGGTGAAAAAAGTCCCAGTCTATCCAGCCTTTCTTTACAATTCATACCTTCCATACCCAGCAACATCCTGGTAAATCTCTTCTGAACCTTCTCCAGCTTGATAATATCCTTCCTGTAACTGGGCAACCAGAAGTGGACACAGTATTCCAGAAGAGGCCTCACTAATGTCCTGGACAACCTCAACATGACTTCCCAACTTCTATACTCCAAGGACTGAGCAATGAAGGCAAGCATGCCAAATGCCTTTTTAACCACCCTGTCTATGTGTGACACAAGCTTCAAAGAATTATGTACCTGCACTCTTAGGTTCCTCTGTTCTACAACACTTCCCAAAGCCCTACCATTAATTGTATAAGCGCTACCCTTGTTTGTTGTATCAAAATGCAATACATCTCATTTATCCAGATAGAACTCCATCTGCCATTTTTCAGCCCATTGACTCATTTGATCAAGATCCCTTTGTAATCTTAGTAAACCTTCTTCACCATCTACTATGCCACCAATTTTGGTGTAATCCGCAAACTTACTAACCATGCCTTCTATATTCTCATCCAAATCATTTATATAAACAACAAAGAAAAGAGTACCCAGAACCGATCCCTGTGAACACCACTGGTCACAGGCTTCCAGTTAGAAAAGCAACCCTCCACCATCACTCTGTTTCCTGCTCATAAGCCAATTTTGTATCCAATTGGCAAGATCACCTTGAATCCCATGTGACCTAGCTTTACTAATTAGTCTACCATGCAGAATCTTATCAAAGGCTTTACTAACATCCAAATAAACAATGTCTACTGCCCTGCCATCATCAATCTTTTTGGTAACTTCCTCAAAAAACTCAATCAAGTTTGAGAGACACAAGTTTCCTCGCACAAAACCATAACGACTATCCCAAATCAATTTTTGCCCCTCTAAATGTCCATAAATCCTATCTTTTATAATGACCTCCAACAATTAACCCACGACCGAAGACAGACTCACAAGTACAGTTCCCGTGTTTCTCCTTACAACCTTTCTTAAGCAAAAGTTCAACATTAGCCACCCTCCAGTCATCAGGCACCTTACCCATAGTTATAGATGATGCAAATATTTCTGCAAGGGGTCTCATAATTTCATCCCTTACTTCCCACAACATGCGAATCAATCTGATAAAATATCTCTTTCCTTGGGCAAGAAGCCAAAAACTGTATACAGTACTGCAATAACAAGGTGTAGAGCTGGATGAACACAGCAGGCCAAGCAGCATCAGAGGAGCAGGCGTACTGCAGTTAGAGTAAAAATGCAAATTGTATTTATTTGTTGACAAACATAATGAAATAACGTATGTTGAACAGTGCAGGGTTGGTTATGAGTGGATCCAAATAAAACCCACAAATCAAAAATACCACATTCAAAAGAATTTAGTTAGTTCATTAATTTTTCACAATAGTTTTCTGACAAGAATTAATCCACCATATAAAATTTAGGGAAGTTATAGCTTTTAAACTGTTTCCTATGGTAAATAGTAAAGTAAATAAAAATTAAGTTTGAAAGTTCTATAATATATTACAGTGTCAAGCCCATATACCGATGATAGGATTCCTGGCATCTCTGTACAAACTTATAATTTGCAGCATTTTCTGTTTTTACCAACTGCAGATCTGGCAGCAATTGTGGAGACAGAAACAGAGCTAACATTTCAGGACTGATTATTCATCGGAACCAGTTCTGATGAAAAGATCTTCAACCTGAAAGGTTAACCATTTCTCTCCACTCCGATTTCAGCCAGATCTGCTGACTTTGTCTAGTATTTTGGTATTATTTTGAATTTTCAAAATTGAACCTGAAGTATGTTGCTTTTTCTGAAATTAATAGGTTGTACTCTGAAACAAATGGAGGATCAAGCATAAACTAAGCAATCAATAGAAACACTGAAATCTCACTGAAGGCTACCTCAATCCAGTTTGGTGGGATTATTCTCATAACTGAGACCACAAATAAGACCTTAGAGTAGACTGGGGCTGGCAGTAAATTGTGACCTACAGATGCCAATCTAGTTTGGACCTTAACCAAGTGGTAATACATCACAAACACCTAGCAAATCAACAGACCAGGCCATTCAGCCATACAAAGCCCAACCATGTCCTCACCCAATACCCAGGAATGTGCATTTCAAGGAAGAAGAATGCCTGATAGTACCCAGACATAAACTGTGTTCAATTTTCCTCTCCAAGGCTTTACAGTAGATTTGTAGCTCGCATTGTGGATGTCGTGTTTGGTTGGCTCGCCAAGCTGGTTCGTTGTTTTTCCGCAGACGTTTCATTACCCTGCTGGGTAACATCATCAGTGCAGCCTCTGATGAAGCGCCATTGTGTTTTCCCGCCTGTTATTTAACCTCTGCAGTCTGTTGAGCTGGACGACCTCACTTCCAGTTTTCCTTCGCAGTGGAGTGTATATGGGGTTGAGCTCTATGTGTTTGTTGATGGCTTTCTTCGTGGAGTACCAGGCTTCTAGGAATTCCCGTGCTTGTCTCTGCTTTGCTTCTCCCAGGTTCTTGGTGTTGTCGGATAAGGAGAACCATCAATTCGACTGGGACAACACCAAGATCCTGGGACAAGCAAAGCAGAGACAAGCATGGGAATTCCTAGATGAATCGTCTGCGGCAAAACAACGAACGAGATCAGTGAGCCAACCAACCACAATTTCCCCTTCCTAAATGAACAGATTGCAGTAATTACTCCTTGGCTAAGTAAATACATTTATTTCCATCTCTCTGAACATACATTTAGATCTTCCTCAGCACAGACTGTACTGAAGACCAACAAACAGATGGGCTTGCCCATTAGATCAAAATATCAATTATAACATCAAAGCCCAGAATCAGGCATCATCCAGAACAATGCATCCTAAATTCATTTTAAAAATTACTGTTTAAAACTGAGGTGCTGCTCAACCAGGAGTCACGAGGTTGATCAATAAATAGGAGTCAAGCAAGTTAGGCCAGAATTACAGACGATCTCAATTTACACAGGGTAGAAAGACAAAGATCGGCCAGGAGTGAATTAGGATAGTCAAAGTAGATGGGTTTCAGCAGAAAGATGAGCTTAAGCATGGCTGGAGTCATTATAGAGTGGAAATAGCTGAGCAATGTATCTGAGGCCAAGTTTGGAGTCATGGATGTCACCAAGATCATGAACAATTGGTTCAGTCTCAGACAAAATGCCAAGAAGAGGGATGGAGTCAGCAACCTTCTTATAATCTCTCCAAATAGAACAAGTTTTGCACAAACCCACCGTCAGTACAGAATTGGGTTATGGATCTCCCCCTCTCATTTCCGCTATCAGTCAGACCTTTCAACCCCCACACGCCCCCAACAGATTCACATCAAGGTCAGAAAGCAGGTCGCTTGCCCACTAAGACCAGCAAGCCCAAGCTCAATAAGTCATGATATGAAAACCATCATGATGCTGCTTGGCCTGCTGTGTTCATCCAGCCCTGCACCTTGTTGTCTCGGATTCTCCAGCATCTGCAGTTCCTACTATCTCTGATTCATATGAAAACCATAGGCTGGTTGTCAAAGCCCCTACCTCTGAAGGGCCCAGCCAGACAGACATTGTCCCGCAATGGGTCCCACCAAATGAGGAGAACTCTCTCAGGCTGCCAACTCCTCATCTGGACCCCAAACTGGGTCCACTGCACCCAGGTGACACTAGAGGGCCAAGGGACATAACGCCACCCAACCTCCTCCCGGACTACAGTGCAGGAATCAGTAAAGGAACGGACCCAACAAGGGCCCTGTCTCCCCGGAGCCCCTTTCCCACTGCCCAGCACTCCGCAGTAAGCCCCTCTCCCATTGGTTGCCCTGCCAAGCCCGGACCCCAACCCTCGCGCTCCCCTCTGTCTGTTTTTTCAAATTTTCAAACCTTTGTTTCCGCTCGCGGCCAAACTCGGAGAAGGCCGGACGTCCGCACATGCGCAACGGCCGGCGGCCGGGCCACGCACCACACACATGCGTAGTAGCGGTCGGCCGGCGGCCGGGCCTCTTGTCCCCTGCACATGCGCAGTGGCCGGCTGTTGTGTGTAGTTCCTTGGGAGCTATGGCACCAGTACCCATAGACCTGCATATTCTTTCCCTCTTTAGGCAATGGTCTAATTCCCAATTGAAAACTACGGTAGAACCTACAACCACCAGATGTCTCGGGAATTACAATCCATATGCTAACAACTGCTTGCCGAAATTTTCACTTTTTTTTTCAAAAAAGGTCATTTTTCGTTTTGCCTTTACTCCTCTTGCTATGTCTCTTACCGTTATCATCTGCTTCTTTCCCGTTCAGGCAATGAGAATCGTTCCTCTGTATCGGGATCGCTATGAAGCCAATGCCTTTGAGGAGCTACAGCAACTGGAATACTGCAGATGCTAGAATTAATGCTGGAAACACTCAGCAGGCCTGGAGTAAGAAACAGCATTTAAAACCTGTGACAAAAACAGAAGTTGCTGGAAAAGCCCTGTGCAGAAAAATCTGCGTTAACGTTTAGGTCTAGTGACCGTCCCTCCTCAGAAAGTGATGTGGAGGTGCTGGTGTTGGACTGAGGGATGGGCAAAGTCAAAAGTCACACCACACCAGGTTATAGTACAACAGGTTTATTTGAAATCACAAGCTTTCGGAGACGCAGCACCCTCCCTCGGGTGCACCTGAGGACGACTCATTGGTTTAGGGGTACGATTCTCGCTTGCGGTTTGGTAGAGTGTTGACATGCAGGAGGTTCAGGGTTCAATTCCTGGACGAGCCCAGGTTTCTGCGACTGTCTGTGTGGAGTTTGCACATTCTCTCCGTGTCTGTGTGGGTTTGCTCCGGTTTCCTCCCACAGTCCAAAAGATGTGCAGGCTAGGTGGATTGGCCATGCTAAATTGCCCGTAATGCTCAGGGATGTGTAGATTAGATGGGTTATAGGGGGATGGGTCTGGGTGGGATGCTTTGAGGGTTGGTGTGGACTTGTTGGGCCGAAGGGCCTGTTTCCTCACTGAGGATTATATGATTCAGAAGTCTGAGGAAGAGTTTCTGGGCCCGAAATGTTAACTCTGATTTTCTCTTCACAGATGCTGCCAGACCTGCTGAGCTTTTCCAGAAACTTCTCTTTTTGTTCCTGATTTGCAGCATTCGCAGTTCTTCCGGTTTTTATTTAACACCTGTAACCCTACATCAGAACAAGGAAAAGTTAAGAATGGTTTTGAACAATTGAGGGGAGCCTGGCATAATTTGCTAATTTCCCCTTCATTTTATACAGCATACAGCTATGGAATCAAGAGTTAAAGGTGCCAGATATTAAAATATGCTCATAACCCAAAATCAATACCTGAAAAAAAAAGAAAATGCTCAAAGTAATATGCAGGTCAAGGCATCTGCTGTGAAAAGAAACAGTTAATGGACGAGATAACAAGGTGTAGAGCTGAATGAATACAGCAGGCCAGACAGCATCAGAGGATTGTAATTCCTTCAAAACACATCTATTTGGAAAGAGCTAAAAAAAAGGACACTGCCTCAGGCCATGGCCTTTTATCAAAACTGGATGATGCTAGAGGTAAATGCGTTAAAAAAAATGCAAAGTCAGGGCATGATGTTTTCTAGCATTTTTGATTTTGATTTCAGATTTCTGGATCCTGCATTATTTTGTTTTAGTCCTTTTAAAATATTCTATTATGGGACATGGGCATCGCTGGCAAAGCCAACATTTATCACCCAGTCTCATTGCCCTTGATAAAGTGGTGTAAACAGCTTTCATGAACCACTGTAGTTTGTGTGTTGAGAGTATACCAATACAGGACTTTTAGGAAGGAAGTTTTACAATCTTGAACTCAAGAAAGTTGGAAGAATTTGGTGATATAAGTCAGGATGTTGAGTGAGTTGGAGGGAATATTGCTGCACTTACCCTCTTAGTGTAGTAGAGATCACTGATTTGGACAGTGATGTCAAAAGTGCCTTGGCAGGTTGCTGCAACATATCTTGTAGATGGTATGTACTGTTGCTATTGTGCTGGTGGAGGGAGTGCAAGTTTAAAATATTGGAAACGTGCAGATCAAATGGGTTACGTTTTCCTGGATGGCAATGAGCTTCAAATGATGTTGGAGCTGCACTCATCCAGGCAAATAGAGAATATTACATCATACTCCTGACTGGTGCCTTGTAGATAGCGGCATGACTTTGGCGAGTTAGGAGGTGATTTACTTCCAATTGAATTTCCAGCGAGAGGCGACTTAATTGAGAGATATAAGCTCCTGAGAGGACTTGACTGAGTGGACGTTGAAAGGGTGTTTCCCGTTGTGGGACAGTCTAAAACTAGGGATCAGAGTCTAAAAATAAATTGTTGTCCATTTAAAACAGAGATGAGGAAACATTTTTTTCTACCAGAGTTGTGAGTTCTAGGAATTCACTTCGTCAAAAGGCAGTGGATGCAGAATCTTTAAATATTTTTTAAGGCAAAAGTAGATAGATTCTTGATGACCAAACAGATGAGAGATTATTGGGGATATGCAGGAATGTAAAGTTGAGGTTACAAATCAGATCGGCGATGATCATACTGAATGGTGGAGCCGGCTCAAAGAGCTGAGTGGCCTACTCTTGTTTCTTGTTTGTATGCTTAACTGTTCAGATAATAACGACAGACAATGGAACCTTTCATGAAGAAAGAGAAATAAATATTTTTCCTGCAGATGTCTCTGCTTCTGTTCCATATTGATGTAATGTATCACCTTCTCTGGCTTTCTTTTATCATTCGTTCTCTTTTTCTCTGTGTGTAATTTTAAATTTCAAGTTTAATAGGTGGACAATATGATATTGCCTATCTTACACTACCAGAAATCATTAAAATGGTAGTATGTAATTATGATTTACTTTCTTGTCCTTTTTCTCACTTACATTCAGTCTAACACTTCCTCTTCATCTTTTTCTACTGCATCACTTACAATCTCTCCAAATGGTTCTGATATGGCTTCTAACAAATAAGCTTTATTTACCATACAGGCTTGAGTGCTGTTCCAATATACCAATTTCCTAATTCTAACCTTACTTAAATAGAAAAAGAAATACAACAATTGAATGTGCAGTTCTTCCGTATGTGTTAACCGATTTACAGGAGCTTACCAATGGGAGCATTAATAGAAGACATTATTTCACCACAAGTTACGAAGTTGAGTAAACAAAAAAAAACACATGACAAAATTAATGTTAATTTCTAAATAAGGAAAAAATAATATTCCTTTCAGGCGATTTGCCCTACACACATTTGAAGAATGAAATAGATATATTTTGCACACAGGTGAGATGATCTTTGTGAGAGTGGAGATGTGTTAAACTGTTCACAATAATTGCAGTAGCCAGCCTTGCCATGAGAGAGAGCACTATTACCACATTACAGAACATTCCACCTACTGTGCTACCTCTGGGTGGCAATGTTCAAAATTATGGCCAGTCCAAAACAGTGTGCGTGGAATGGAGTCTGCAATGACCAGAATGCAAAAGTAATTATGGTTTTCACGAGAAATTTAACTTTCTATTGTAACAAAATCTTGCTTTCTGAAAAATTATTTATCTTTTGAGGGGGCGGGGTTCTGCTTCCAGTTTCATTTCCAGCATCTTTCATGTCACACTGATCCGACTCATTTGTGTTATAATAATTAATTTCGACTTAATTTGAAGCAGCATTCATTTTCATTCCCAAAATTTGTCTTACTGATGAAAATTCTATAATTTAGGTTGACCACTGAATTCTCCGCTTGATGAAAACAATATATTTGACTAACTGCTCTTAAGATCTTCCTGATAATGAATTTAGTTTGATTGATATACATGGAACTTGCAGCACAGAAACATTTGATTTAACTGCTCTATATTTCAGCAGGATTCACTCCATATAATAATGACTCCAATATAAAATACTCCAATACGTGAAAAACGGTGAACTTTCTTAGTAACCTTATCAGTTATTTCAATTGGTTCAGCCACTTTTGGAATACTGTGTGTAATTCTGGTCTTTTTGCTATAGGAAGAATGTTGTGAAACTTGGAAGGGTACAGAAAAGAATTACGAGGATATTGCCAAGGGTTGTATGCTTTGAGTAATAAGGAGAGGTTGAATAGGCTCAGGCTATTTTCCCTGGAGCATTGGAGACTGAGGGGTGTGCTTATAGAGGTTTATAAAATCATGAGGGGCAAGGATAGAGTAAATACGCAAGGTTTTTTCCACCAAGGTGGGGAACCCAAAACTAAAGGGCATTGGTTTAAGGTGAGAGGGGAAAGCTTTAACGGGGACCTAAGGGGCAACTTTTTCACGCAGAGGGTGGTGCGTGTATGGAATAAGCTGCCAGAGGAAGTGATGGAGGCTGGTACAATTACAACATTTAAAAGGCATCTGGGGGAGTAAATGAATAGGAAGTGTTTAGAGGGATATGGGCCAAATGCTGGCAAATGGGATTGATTAATTTAGGATATCTGGTCAGCATGGTCAAGTTGGACTGAAGGGTCTGTTTCCATGCTGTACATCTCTGAGTCTATTACTGTATAATCGAAGTTTTTAACCTACGTTGTTGCAGTGCATAGATACAGTTCCTATGCTAACAATAAAAATGTAAGCACTGTTTTTTGTTTGCTGGATATTAATCTTTACTCCCAATATGCAGTTCTATAATCATTTATATCTTTTTCAAAAAAATGTATGAGTTGAAAAGATGATTATTAGCATAATACTGATTAGATTGATGTTTTTTCTCACCTTTTTCATTCTTATATCCTTTAATCATTTTGGAGAGATAACCTTCTTTGCGACAATTATCCATGCCTTTCTCTCTTTTAAAATCCGGATCTCATTGCTTCTTAATTATGTCTTCTGAGGATACTGGGAATTGTTAGGAATGGTAAAAGGTCTCTCATCTTCATGATGGATTGCAATGCCAGCATCCCACTCTATTCCTTTCTCTTGTTAGAAATACATCTAATTGAATTTTTTAATCCTATTTATACTGTCCACGTTATGGGCCCACCTGGTAATTTCACTTGAAG